AAGCCCTTTCGATCTTAGGACCGAGGCCCAGGCTTGGAACCGCTCAGGACGACAGCGCCCCCGCGCGTTGAGCCAGCGCAGTGACGGCTGCACGCCCCACGCCCCACGCTCAGCAGCTGCGCAGGTAACTGACATTTCAGTTTATGTTTTAAATACATTTAAGCACCGTATTTCAGTTTATGTTTTAAGTATATTTTATTGATGTCAGAGCGGAAGGGAGAGGGAGAGAAAAACATCCGTGATGAGAGAGCATCATGGACCGGCTGCCCCCTGCACGCCCCGCACTGGGCATGGAGCCCACAACCCGGGCCTGTGCCCTGACCGGGATCCAACCGTGTCCTCCTGGTTCAAAGGTCGACCCTCAACCACGGAGCCCCGCCGGCCGGGCTGAGGTCCATGTGTTAGGCCCTGTCCTAGCTCATTCCGTCCTGATGCCACTGAACTGGACTCCCCACCTGTATGGTTGTTCCGACCTCCCACCCGAGAAACACTGACCTGACGGCCGGGCTTCCAGGTCAGACAGATGCGAGCTGGGACCCTGGGGGCGACCTTCGCACGGCCTCGGGAGGTGCTCCTGCACCTGCGTGAGCCACGGGTCCGAGGAAGGAGGGGAGACGGTGCAGAGCAGGGGCTGTCGCATCGATTCAGTAACATGGCGCAGAGCACACGGGGCAGTTGTGACATCTTGTTGTTGTTGCTAACCTTCACCGGAATATGTTTTCCCCATTATTTATTTATTTGTTCATTTATTTATTTATTTTAGAGAGAGTGGAGGTGACAGAGAGAGAGAGAGAGAGAGAGACGTTGATGTGGGACCCACACATCCATGGTTTGCCCCCTGCACACGCCCCGACCAGGGCTGGGCATCAAGCCTGCCACCGAGGGATGTGTCCTTGCCCAGAATCGCATTCGGTCCGTGGGCTGAAGCTCTGTCCACGGAGCCGCACCGGCTACAGTGGGAAAGGGTGGTTTTGATGAAGGTGATCACATGGGGCAGAAGGGGAGTCACTGTGCTAGGGATTCCAGTTGTCAGCAGGCAGCCGGGGCCCAGGCATCCGCCTGTGGCCACTAGCGTCCTCATTCCTCTGTAGCCCACCCTGGAGCCCGGTCAGGGAGGAATCTGTGGACGTGAGGATTCGATGGCTGCCGCCCCATCCTCCCACAGTGTGGTCATATCCGGCGTAAACGTCGTTGGGCAGGTCTTACAGGCAAGTCCAGAAATGCACATGCTCACCCCACGGCCTGTCGCCACCTCCCGTGAGCGTGGCAGTCATTCCGCGAGGTGGGTGGGCCCTGAGGAACTTGATAAATACGGAGATTCTGAGACCAACTGGAGTGACTGGCTCAGAATCATCTGGAACAAGACTGAAATCTATACATAAAATTGTTCAAACACACACACAGGCCCAATGGTGCCCTCCTGCTAAAAGCCCAACATACAAAACCTACATCTCAGACCTAATGTGACCGCAGGCAAAACCTCTCCCGGAAACATGCACTGAATCAGCCAGGACAGAGTTTCCTGGTCAAGCACCAGGAAGCTCATCTGTCACATGGGTCCTCTCCGCAGAGAGAAGAGGCCATCTGGCCCGGCTGGCTTGCCTCAGAGGTTGAGAGTCGACCTATGAAGCAGGAGGTCACTGTTCAATTCCCAGTCAGAGCACATGCCTGGGTCGCGGGCTCAATCCCCAGTGTGGGGCGTGCAGGAGGCAGCAGCTGATCCATGTTTCTCTCTCATCATTGATGTTTCTATCTCTCTCTCCCTCTCCCTTCTTCTCTGAAATTAACAAAAATATCTCTCTATATAAAACCTAATATGCTAAGTGTCCGACTGTCCAGGTGATGATGTCACATAGCAACACCAGGCTTTCTCTCACTAGCGACGACTAGTCTCCTTGCAGTTTCTTCGGCCCAGGAACACGACGTCCTTTGTAGCCAGGTACAAACATTTTACAGTTCAACCAAATGTCTGTGAAGCGTTTCCCATGCCTCATCTCATTTGACCCTCACAGAAGTCCTGGAGTAGGTAGGTAGGAGACTCGGTTTTCTTTTCATTAGCTGGAAAACAGATTTAGAAATCTTAGAAAGTTGACCCAACTGAAAAGAAGTAAGAAATGGTGGACTTTGAAAATGACTCCAGGTTTTCCACTGCACAGAGTATTGTCAGGCACTGCTGCACCTAAATATTTTACCCTTTGTTCTCCCTGCGTGATCTACAATAATAATGTGCTGATATTTATTGCTGTGTTGCTGACAATTACCTGAAAGAGAAGTTGGGGTGCTTCACTGGGCTGGAAAAAGTTTAGCTAAGCCAGAAAGCAGGTCTAATTAAGCAAGTTTTTTCTATATCTATAAGAGGCTAAGTTGACTCACGCATGCGTGACACATATAAAGCTCTTGCTGGCACCAATCCCACACGTGTTTCGATCTGTCACTGTCAATCATGAATTTGATTGACACTCTATTATAATAGACAAAGGGTGAATAGCGATATTAAAATATTTCTTCTAACTAATTCCTTTCAATGTGCACGATTTTGCCATGAGGTCCCGGCAGCATCAGCTGTGATTTGGTGGGGTGTGGCTCTGGGGTAGTGGCGGTGCCTGTGTCCCACTTGGGGGAAGCCCAGTGTTGCTTTTGGGCACCAGGTCCGAAGTGCCATTTCTCTGTGCGAGTCCTGGCAGCTCCTGCATTGAGCAACTGCCCCCTGGTGGTTAGTGTGCGTCACAGAGAGTGATAGGACACAGGGAGGGACACTTAGCCTTTTATATATGCAGATGTGGCACAGGGCATACTTATTGTTCAAGAGCATGAGCCGATTCCATTGAAACTGCTTAGACATGACGGCTTTAAAAATTTGCTATTTTACATCATTTTTGTACCACATTCAGGATTAATTTAAATATAGGCGATTTTTAAACATCTCATGAATGTTTCATCACGAAGATTTGTATTCTCATTTTTATTTCAGTAGGACTGGTGTATTGCGATGTGATCCACAGGCATCAGCAAGAATGCAGGCAGAGCACGGCCGGAGTGGCTCAGTGGTTGAGCACCGAACCATGAACCAAGAGGTCACTAGTTCAATACCCGGTCAGGGCACATGCCCGGGTTGCAGGCTCCATCCCCAGTAAGGGGTGTGCAGGAAGCAGCCAACTGATGATGTTTCTCTCTCATCACCGTTTCTATCTCTCTATCACTCTCCCTCCCTCTCTCTCTAAAAATCAATAAAAACATTTAAAAATAAAGAATGCAGTCAGATTTCTCAAAGTGCACCTCCACTTCTTGTGACTTTATGGACATCATCTGTAGGGTCTGTTGTGTGTGAAAATATGGGGCAATAAAACTCAAAATCAATGTGATTGCCCCAAACCAATGTTACAGCCAGCCACTGCACCCACCGAATAGTATCATAGCCACTTAGGCACTGGTCAAAATTGTTTTTCTCTCAAGTGCATGGCTTGCAGTTTCTAGAGACAAGTCCACCCAGTTCATTTCGCTGGAAAGAATCCTTTAGTTGGGTGTTCACTGCCAACTGTACTTCTGTGTTGATTGGAAAACTATCTAAAGGACACCACTCTTTAGAGACCTTGCAAAAAACAAACAAACATGTCTTCAGAGAGAATGGCTTCACTTCCATCGTCCCTCAGAACTCTGCTTCCGAGATGGAAAATTAAGCTGGTCATTCAATCCTCCGTGTAACTTGTTTTCTTCTTTATGAAACCCTGGGACGCATCGGGCCATAATCCTCATGACCGAAGCTTATCTGGTGGGTGGACTAGTTCTTGGTCCCCTATTCAGTAATAAGGGGGCCTGGGTTTCTCTAACAATAGTAGATGCCTTATAAGCTCCACTTCTGATTTATGTCCCTTTAAGACCAACATTTGAATTTCAATTCTAACCAGTATATTACAATGTGACCCTAGGGTATGGGCTGAAAGAACTCAGCAAGACCACAGACGTTGCTCAAAGGGCACCTCCCCTGCCAGGGACTTTGTGGACATCACCCGTGGGCTGGTTGAAAATGAACCTTTTCCCATGTCTGTGCACCCAGTGTTTTGCCTGCCCTTCCTTCCCAAGGCCCTGAATTGAAGGCATCTGAACTCCTGGAGCAGTTGTCCAGGGGAAGGGAACCAACAGCCCCGCCCCCAACCCTTGGGAGCAGACAGGGAAAGACTTATTCTAAGGAATTGTTTAAAATCGCGGGTGCTGCCCACAGAAAGAAAACCATGGGCGCATAGACTGGTGTCTCAGGGCTCCAAAATGGGACCCCTCGAGGGCAATAATTCGTTTGTCATTAAAGGAATCCAGCTTGATGAACTCAAATGCCCTCGGCTCCATAGGCAGGACTCTCCGAGGAGCCTGTGTTACTTCCCTCACTTAAGGGCAGATTTGTAATAAAAATCTTCATTCCAGGGAAATGGTTTTTTGGTATATGAGAACCTAACCACTTGGAGAATCCTATGTGAGCGGTCAGAAAAATCCACCGTTAAAGATCGGTGTATAATTTACGCAGAAAACAGAAAGTTTTGTTTCTCAGAGTTGAAATCTGACGCGCACGGTGGGAAATATTGCTGGTTTTTCGCATAAAGGTGTGTCGTCCCCGCGTAACGGGACCCCTGGGCGAAGCCTGAGACTTCGGGGATCCCTTTCTGAGCAAAACCGGGCAATTCGGTGCAGGGGATTTTGATATTTTGAGCATTTTTCGAGGTGTAACAAACACAACTCGGGATCCGACAGGACACTCCGCAGCTGCCAGCGAGGCGGGCTGGACAGCGCACCAATCACGGCGCAGCTCCGCCCTATATAAGCGCGCGGGCGCGGCGGCGCGGCCCGAGTCC